CCCGGGGCTGCAGAAGACGCTGGAGCAGTTCCACCTAAGCTCCATGAGCTCGCTGGGCGGCCCGGCCGCCTTTTCGGCGCGCTGGGCGCAGGAGGCCTATAAGAAGGAGAGCGCCAAGGAGGCGGGCGCGGCCGCAGTGCCAGCGCCGGTTCCCGCAGCCGCCGAGCCGCCGCCCGTGTTGCACCTGCCCGCCATCCAGCCGCCGCCGCCTGTGCTGCCCGGGCCCTTCTTCATGCCGTCCGATCGCTCCACCGAGCGTTGCGAGACCGTGCTGGAGGGCGAGACCATCTCGTGCTTCGTGGTGGGCGGTGAGAAGCGGCTGTGCCTGCCGCAGATCCTCAACTCGGTGCTGCGCGACTTCTCGCTGCAGCAGATCAACTCAGTGTGCGATGAGCTCCACATCTACTGTTCGCGCTGCACGGCCGACCAGCTGGAGATCCTCAAAGTCATGGGCATCCTGCCCTTCTCGGCGCCCTCGTGCGGGCTCATCACCAAGACGGACGCCGAGCGCCTGTGCAACGCGCTGCTCTACGGCGGCGCCTACCCTCCGCCCTGCAAGAAGGAGCTGGCCGCCAGCCTGGCGCGGGGCCTGGAGCTCAGCGAGCGCAGCGTGCGCGTGTACCACGAATGCTTCGGCAAGTGCAAGGGGCTGCTGGTCCCCGAGCTCTACAGCAGCCCCAGCGCCGCCTGCATCCAGTGCCTCGACTGCCGGCTCATGTACCCGCCGCACAAGTTCGTGGTGCACTCGCACAAAGCCCTGGAGAACCGGACTTGCCACTGGGGCTTCGATTCGGCCAACTGGCGGGCCTACATCCTGCTGAGCCAGGACTACACGGGCAAGGAGGAGCAGGCACGCCTGGGCCGCTGCCTGGACGACGTGAAGGAGAAGTTTGACTATGGCAACAAGTACAAGCGGCGGGTACCCCGGGTGAGTGTCCTGGGCCTGGGAGCTGGGGCAGCCCCACCTGGGTGGGAGGCCCTCTGGGCGCCTTGGGCTTGGCCTCGGAAGGCTGCTTGGCCCGGAGTCTCAGCGTTCTGCTTTGTTCTGAGCAAATGCAGGGCATTGTCAGCGTTCTCATGGCCAGGGGCCCATGTTTTGGGAGAAGGTTCTCTTGCCTGACCCCTGGGGTGACCCCAGGGAGTAGGCCTGGTGGGTAACAAAGCTCTCCCCTCCCCCCACCCACAACCATCACCCAGATAGGCTGGATGGGGGGGGGGGGTCACAGTCCTTAAGTGCTTGCCCTGAGAAAAGAGGCCTGCTTTGGGCTGTGGGACATTAGATCTGCTAGGATTCAGGCTGGAAGACTTAGCTGAGGTTTTAGGACCTCCACAAGGTTGCTGACCTCACCTCAAAGCCTCACAGACTTGCACATGGGGGCGGCGGTTGCCTTCCCTTGGCCCCCAACCCCAGAGTTTCAGCAAGGCAGGGCCTGGTTTGCCACCAGCTCCCTGTTTTGTGCCTTTACGCCTTGGAACGCAGATGAAGCCAGGGGTCTGGGCTGCATGGCAGGGGTCCAGACTTGGTGCCCCCAGCTCTGCCTGTATTCTCTGGGTCCACATGAATCCCAGAAACCCCTGTGAGTGGTGAGGGCCACTGGGCCCCGGGTTCTGGCTTGGTCAGCAGGCTCCCAGGCTTGAGAGTTGGAGTTTCTGGCCTCCTACAGTTTGTTTGGGACTCACCCATTTCCTTCTTTGCTCTGAAACGCAGAAGGGTGCGGTACTGAGGGCCGCTGGCCGGGCGTTGTTGTTTGCCAGTTGGAGGATCTGTGGGATCCGGCCTGGGCAGCTCTCAGGCCTCTGGACATGGAAACCATTTGCTGGGGGCCTGGGGAACTTTCCGTTGTACACCTCCCTGAGTATTTGTAACTTTTCTTTTAAATATCCAGGCTTATTAAATTGCACACACAGAATGCTGCATTGGCTCAGCTATTCTTGGGAGGCCTAATTAATTCAGCTATTGCATCAAACTTTTTTTCTGAATCTGTGAATAGATGCTTCAGCCCGGTTTTCTCTGGGCGCCCCTCCAGCGGAGTGTCAGAGTCGTGGGGAGGAGGGGCTGTGGATGGAAACGAGGGGCTGTCGCCTCTGTTTAGAGGGGGCCGTTAAGCGTGTGTGTGCATGTGTGTTCAATGGTGTCCCTGCCCCCAGCTAGGGTGGCAGCCATCTGCAGACCCCCTCTGGGTCGGGGGAGGATGCTGGTGGTGGAGCTGTAGACACCCCAGCGGGCTTCAGATGGGGAGAGAGGCTGCAGCAGACATGATAGTGTTCCTTGTGAGGTGGGGGGGGCCTTCCCTTAGGGCACCTGCACCCTGGCTAGCACCCCTGCCCAAGGAGACCACGTGTGTGGGATGTGGTGGGCTCGGTCAGACGGGTGTGGGTTGTCTGTGGCCTGAGCGTCACTTATCTCATCTGAGCAGGGTGTGTCTGTGTTTGTTTTTGTCCGACTCTGGGCCATGTGTGTTTGTGGTCTTTCTGTCTTGCTAGTGCTGATGCAGTGGCTGGCTGTGCCTCTTTGTCATAGCTATGGTCCAGTGGCGCCCTGGTCATCTGGTTTCTCCCCACCTGCAGGCCTTGTGGTCCTGGGTGCCAGGGCCCCGGGTCTCATGGAGTGCCTGGTCTTGTCATGGGGCTGACCTGCAGCCTCCTCCAGTCCCTTCAACTGATGCTCTGGGGCTGCCTTTCCCTTTGGGGCTTCTAGTGTGGCTCTGAAATTTCATTTACTGAATGAGAAAGTGCTCCCTAGCCATGAGGAGACATGCTCAGTGTGACTGGTTGAGGTCTCTGGCCTGAGGGCTAGCTCAACCCTGCCCTGGCACTCATGGCTTCAGCCTGGGTCCTGGCACATTTGCCAGCTCCTGACTGCTTTTGGACAAGGGACTAAGGGCTGCTTCATCCTTCTGGTGGGGCACTTGCCCACCTGCTCCTTGGCCTGGGCATGGTGCAGTGGGCAGGGGCTGCTCCCACTCAAGACTTATATGACTGTAGTTGGCAGTTCTGGGCACATGGCTACCCTGAGACTCCCCTAGACCCTGCACTCAGTTGTCTGTGTATGCACGGGGCACCACGTGGGAAGGAGTGTCAGTGCCAGGATGGGCGTGGACACATGCTGCCGACCCCTTGTCCTAGAGGGAGTGGTCAGGCAGCCCCCCAGCCCCTGCTGGTCTTGAGGGGCTCCTCCCACTTGCCTCTTGATAGCTCATTCTTGGGATAGATTTTGATTTTTTTGCTTCTTTTGTAGCTTATTTTAATATTTTTGATCTCCTGAGGATGAGGGCAGAGGAACAAAGAATGTACTGGAACCATCTTTGCGGGGCCTGCTGTTCCCAGCAGGCGCTTGGGTTCTGCTGAAAGGGAGGGTGCTGGATGCCTTCTGGGTGCCTGCAAGGCATGGGCCCCAGTCTGCTGCCAGAGTGAACAGGGTTACTTCTTCTCTGCCACTGTGGTGGGGCGAGGCCCGTGAACTCCCCAGGGTCCCTGACGCCCTCATTACCTTTGCCTGTCCAACTTTGTTGGCAGCCTGGCCTTGGTGGGGTTGTGCTTCCTATGGTTGCCCCAGCATGGAACCGAGCCGGAGGTGGGGCTCTAGCTTCCAGCCCCGGAAACCCTGTGGGTGGACAGCTAGGCTAGAGGCCCTGGCATGTCAGCAGTACTGTGACAGTGTGAAGGGCTAGCAGTCCTCAGTGGTGCCCTGATGGCATGGTGGGCAGAGGAACTGTCTACCCTGTCTGGTGGCCATCAGGCCCAGCTTCCTTCCTGTGGTATAAACTGAAAGACCAGGCAGGTTGCCTGGGTTCTTGGCAAGTTACCTCTCAGGGACCCTTGTGGCCACTGTTCTCAGTTGGTGGGGTTGGTCTCACCTCCCCATTCTGTCCCTCACTGGCTTTGTGACTTGAACATGTTGCTCAGCCTCTGCCTCATTCTCGGATAAACTGGAGGCCACTGCCTTGTTGATCTTGGGTGTTTATATCTGACCATGGTGGGGTGTGGACAGGTTTTGCTGCTAGGAAACGTGGCAAAGAGGCACCCCTGAGCCTTACCTGCCCCACCCCTCTTCTTTGCCCCAGGGACGCTCTGTGCTCTGTCCCTTTTTCTGGGGTTGTCTGATAGCTCTTGGTCTGGACGGGCCTCCGTCTGTAGTTGGGCACTCAGAAAGGGAGACAGTGTGGCAGTGTGCGCTGCCATTTGGCCTGCTGCCCGGGACACGGCTCCTTGTCCCACAGGACGTCTTGCTGGGCAACCGAGTGCTGGCCTTTCAGGCTGACGACCAGGTGGTGCCTCCCGAGGCGGCAGCCGTGCCGCGGCGCCGGGGGTCCTCTCAGCTGCTGCCTGTGGTTGGAACGCTCCTTGACTGGAGGTTTGCGTAGTGCACGTTGTTGTGTTGTTCCTCTGCCCTTCAGACGCCTGGTCCCCAGAGGGGCCTGTCAGGTGGAATTGCTGTTTTTTGTGTGGGTCGAGGTGACCCTTAGGGGGAGGAGGGCTGATGGTCACTTGGTGTGAGTGGCTTGCCAGCCCACTGGATAGTGTTTAGGGAAGAACACCTGGCCAGGAAGTGGGTGCTGGGCTTTGGGACCCTCTGCAAATAAGTTGCACTTTGCTCTTTTAAGCCAGAGTGACCCTGGGAAAGGGCAGCATCAGGAGCTGGAGCTGACTTGCTTTTCCTGGGACCCATCGAGACAGGGCCTGTTGCAGTGTCTGGGCCTGCACTCAGTCGGGGGCCCGCGTGAGAGGGGCTTGCAGTCTGTCCTCCCCAAGCTTCCTGGGGCTTTGTGTTGGTTTCTCAGTCCAGAAGGAAGGCCAGCAGGGTCTTCTCAAGGGGAGAAGCAGTGACTCAAGAATGGGCTCTGGCTCCTGTCTGCACCATGGAGCCAGGAAGGGTTGGGGGGGGCGGTCCTGGGTGCCCACCCTGCCCACTCCTGCCGGGTGCCCTCCGTCCCCCTCCACGGGGAGCAGAGCCATTAGGTCACTCTGCTGGCATGTCTAGGACCCGGGCTGAGCCCCTCCCTGGCCTGGGGCAGCAGGCTCCTTGAGTGGCCCTCACTTGTGTCCTGAGTTTGGGGCAGCATGGAGCTGTGGGGGAGTAAGGTCACTGACTTCCAGTGTCTTGTTTCCCAACCTCTCCACAGCTGGTTGGTTTAGTGTCTGTCTCAGACTCAGGGACAGACAGGATACCACATGTGAGGAAGTCTGGGCTGAATGTGACCCGGCCCCGCCCCGGAGCCCAGGTTGGGACTGTTCCACGCCCAGGCGGGGCCTTCAGGAGGAGGTGACAGGGCCGGGCCAGTGCCCGGCCAGCACCCTGGCCGTCTGGCAGGAGATGTCCACTGCCGGCTGGGCGCTCTGTGGCAATAATGTGTCTCTTTCTAAGGATTGCGAAAGTTTGGGGAGGGTTTCTCCACTGGAAGAATTATGCAAGTTTCAACAGAAATGTTTTTAAAAAGTTTCTTTGTTTTGAGTCAAAATACAGAGGCTGAATTATTTCCTTAAGATCTGGGAGAACTGAGAAGGAAGGAAAATGCTCTTCCCCTCCTGACTGCCGGCCCCAGGGGCAGGGGTGGGGGTCATGGAAGGAGCCCTGGAGACTGACCTTTTACATCTGGGGGCTGGCCCCTTCTTGCCCTGGCTGTCATCTGCATGGGCGGAAGTGGGTTCCAATCAGTGTCCAGCACAATCACGGATGGTGTCCCTGGGGACCATGTGTGGCAGTGGCGACCATGAGGTCACCTTCTTGCCTGGGCAAACCTGACCAAGGTCTGCCTCCATCTGACCCCTCAGGGCTCGGTTGCTGCTCTGGAGACCAGGTGCCGCCTTGCTGTCTGTTGAGGCTACCTGGGGCCACCCCAGGGGAGTGCTTGGTACATTCTGATGGGCACTTTGGTGAGTGACAGCTCCCAGCGCAGCATCTTGTGGGTCTGAGAGCCTGTCCCAGTG